GGATTTCGGTAATAGAAACGTATAAGGTTTGATCCGACAGAGATTCTTAAAGTTGGAATTTCTACATGATAATAAACACCCTTGTAAATTAACTACAAACTGGCGTGGGCAGGAGTTTTGTCATGGCCAGCTTTATCCATCGATCTGAACCCAATATGAAATACTTGGGGAATTCTTCGTCGCAGTTATATGCCGAAAATACGCAATTCGATGGCGTCTTAAAGCATGAATGCATGAATTAAAGCTTAAAGGAAACTTTACATTTAAAAAATGTATTAATTAGGTCTTTTTTATCTTTTTAACAAAGACATAAGTTGTACTCATTGAAAAAAGTCAAGGCTTATTTTTTGTTTACCTTTCTCTTCCTGTTTAGATACTGATCCTGACTGTGATTCTGACATTGTGTCAGTCTACGGATACCTGGCAGCGTTTACCGTCTCTGGAAACCTTCTCCTCATACGAGGTAAATACTAGAAACCTAAGCACTGTAAGACACCGAACCTAAAATCCAATTTTCACCAGGATATGCAGCGTTACTTTGACCAGCGTAATTTCCGGAGCATGCGGCACATTGACAATCCCACAGACGATAGTTACCTGGCGGCATTCAATCAGTACAATGAGCAGCTGGAGGATCAGCATCCTAAGCGGGTGGGCCAACTCCACTCCAGGATAAAGCGCGAACAACGCCAGCTGCCCACAGCACCAAGAATGCTGCGCTTCGAACTAGCGGATGCCGTGGAACCGAGCCCGGAACTAAAGCAAATCCTGCGACAATACCATGCCAGATCCTTGAAGGAAAATCCCGCTCCTATGAGTCCAGTTAGTACAACTCAGGAACCTTCATTGGCTGTCAGTACCACCAAGGCTACAAAAGTTAAGTCCCGGAAACCTCGTCGTCAGAGGCGATCGGTTGTTGGAGCCCAGCAACCAGCGGATTTTAAAGTCCAGATGATTCCATTTGAGGAAACAGACGCCAGGGAACCCGATCCCGTGACAGCTCAACTGATCAAGAAGGCTCGCACCCTGGATCTGCAAAGCCAGGCCACCAGATCTTCTGACTTTCACCAGCCGAAACCGCAAGTGGCTAGGAAGCAGCCCTTCCAAGTGAGGATTCGCAAGACGAAGCGCTCCAAGCGCTCCGCTCCGCAGATGGTTAAGTTTGAGTTGGCGGATGCCAAGCCCTTGCCCCAAAGAGCCGGAAAACAGTTGTCATCTGAGATTGTACCCACCCTCCTGACGATAGAAACCCAGGCACGGAACAAGACCCATTTTTCCCAGTTGACCACACCCACTCCTCGGGTTGAGGACAACGACATACTAACGGGAGAAGCCACGGCGGAAACGAAGCGCATGTATGTGTATAAGGAGTCACCTCTCTCTTCTGGACATGTGAAGAGCAAGAAATCCTTGAGCGCACTGCCCCATGAAGTTCAAAAGGTCATCGGCCACCTGATGAAGGATGGACTTGGTGGCAAGGCGTATGTCAAGTACCTTCCTGCCCAGAAGTCCGACTACGAGCACTACAAGGCCAAACCTCTATCCTATGGGGCTAAGCCTTTGGGTAACTATATTAAGTACATCAACAAACCGGCAGAGCCATCTGCAGCTCCAGCTCCCGTCCAAGTGCACATCCAACCAGTTCCTGTGGTGGAGCAACTCCGTTACGTATACACGCCCAGCTATGTGGCAGCTGCCCCCACAATAGCCCAACCCATTGTGGTCCAGGAGGCGCCAGCTCCCACAGTCGCAGTGGAGGAAGTGCACCACACATATACCGCAGAGCTGGCTCCACCGCCCACCCAAAACCTGGAGGTGATTGTGCCACAGTTCAGGCCTTCCAAGCCAGACCCTCTGCTGGCCGAAGCTCCTGCCATCTACGGGAAACCCCAGGAGTCCTACAACTACGACATCCAGCCTGAGGCTTCCCCACTGATCAAGATCGAGTACCATGCCCAGCCGGATGGCCTTAAGGACCACTACAAGCAGCTGCCAGAGTTCCAGCAATTGTCCACCCTTATTGGCAAGTCCCCAGACGACCAGATCCACGGCTTAACCTATCTCCTGGCCAAGGAAATGCAGGCCAAGCTGCAGAGGCAGGGAAAACAGCTGGTGGATCGCCCACAGGACAGTACGGCACCGATCCTGTTCCACCCAGGACAAGGTCCGTCGCCGGCACCCACTCTCAAAACCCTGTTAGATCACGGGTCCCTGGGCGTCCAGCCGGGTCGGCTTATCGGCATGGCCAAGACCAAGCAGTATGTGCCCATTATCGAGCCGGGCAACAACGACGTCAAGGAGCTGCCTGCGGCTTCCAGCAGCGAGGCCTCCAAGCTGCCCACACCCAGTTCCTACATCGACTACACCCACGGACACGGTCTGTCGAACGGATATGAGGGCGTGGCCAACGCGGAGGAGCCGGTGACCACGGTGGAGCATGTGGTGCACCACCCTACGGTGGCCACGCAGTTGCTTCACCAGGTCCAGCACCAAAATCCGCACCAGCACCACCAACAGCACATCCAGCAGCAGCACCACGGACTTGTGGCCACCGTCCTGCCGGCGGAACTGGATGCGGACAAGGGCGTGAATGGTATCCATTTTGTGCACAGCCAGGAGGACAAGTCGGTGAGTTGGGATTGGAATCGTAAGAGCCGAAGATTTATTCACCCCTCAAGTATAAGCCAGTGGCAGGCGGTCTTCTCTAAGGGGAACAACCTGTAACTCATCTCGTTTCATAAAAGATATTTAGATAATATTTTCTCGAATTTAAAGTACCAGTTAAAATGTCACATATACAATGGCTTTAGTTCGATATCAAAACTTATTCTTGTTGGGAACATATCTACCAAGTTAAAAAGATTTATATTTTAATTTAATTTAATCAATTCCATAATCTAATTTTCTTTCCATTGAGACACTTCCATACCGAAATTCGTTAATGTGTTAGTTCGCCCCGAGGAAGTTTCACTGTAGTGTCGGCTGGTAACCCCCCGAATGCATTAAATTAAAGCATACCTCAGGGCGCCGGGTAAAAGACTTAGCGCTCTCCGAAAGCGTGCCCATTGATTGGCATAGGCAAAAACACAATCAGCATAAATAAGACGAGCTGGGGCGGCCACAAACAAACACGGTGCCAGACGGATAGACACTCCATTGCACGACACTGCGGCAGTCACAACAATGGAATCCCCTGCAGCAGGGACTTCGCCAGGACTCCCTGCGCACCTCCGCACCTCCGCACCTCCGCACAACCTTTTAAGCCCACCTCGCCCCCCGGTGCCGCTCTGTGTGCAATTCAGTTTGATTGCCGATCCATGTCTCGCCGGTAATGCACTTAATCGAATAATTTTCAAGTTCGACAAGCATTTTCAATGTCGTTAGCCAGTCCCAGCCCTCTCCACTTCTCAAGGCCCTTCCCTCCGATCCTTCGTCTGGTACCTGGCAACACAGCCACAAAAGCAATGCAAACGACTTCGTCTTTCATTACTATATAGTACTATCCGTTCGACTGCAGTCTGCAAGTGCACTCAGAAAAACTAGCTCCGTTCCTGGACCAATTTTATACTTTCCATTTTCACGGTAACAATAATAAGTGTGGATCTCACAGTATCGGTTCCGAAATGGTCTTCATGGTCTGATTCATGCCATCAAAAACATCATGGTCTTGAAGTTTCGGAGAAGAGAAGGTCCTTATTGTACAGATTTTCCAGAACATTTCACATATATTTTCGTACAAGTGTATTTGTGTCGGGCCGACATTTTGGGGCGCTGTCTGGACCAATTGATATAGATATATGGCAGCTGATAGGGTATATATTCATTTGGCCAACCTCAAGCACTTGGAGCGTGTGCCAGGGAAATGCACTCCATTCCACATGCGTCTCGGAATTAACATTTTCTTTCACTGGCGGAAAAACTTTCGCGCAGCTTGGGGTTTCCTGAATTTAATTTATCTGTATTTCTTTGGCGAACCAGAAGGCAAAGTCCCGGGCAATGGTGCGTCTTTGTGCGCAGCCAGGCAAAAGGCCACGAAAAGTGTCTTGAAAATGCGAAATGAGCAGAGTGTGTGTGCAGAGTCACCAGACACACCTGAGATGGGGCAGAGAAAAGAAAGTACAGCAGATGGGGACAATCCCGGAAAAATAGCGAGTATAAGGACCAAAGAGAGCGATAGTCGTATTCAAATCGAACTAAGATGGAATGGGCGGAGTATTTACTTTGTCGTATCAATTTGTTGTAACTCTCAATATCTTTTAAGAGGTTGGTGGGGACTTACAATTGAAATTCTTTCGTCAAAATATCTTCGTCAATTTTTTTGAATATATGACCAATTCGGTTTTTTTTAAACAGGGATTAGTAGGATAAAGTGACAAACGATTCGTTTTTGAAATGCCACATTTCCAAAAATTAATATTTCAAATAATACAATAATATTAATGATATTATTGCAAATATATCGTCGAAAACGATAAGAGTAATCGACTAGAATTATTTGAAATTTTTGACGTGAGATTTGACGATTTCATCGCCTTACCCTAATCGTCACTTTACCCTACACTCCCCTAGTAGAAAATTGTTGACCAAAAATATTGACAAATAGGGTGCGTGACAGTCAGACTCCTCTGCACCTTCGCTAGGTTTGCGGTCATCATCATAGGGCACCATCCAAACCATACACATTATACTGCGTGTAAGAGCTAATAGAATTCATTTTCTTTTTGAAGACATTTTGGTAAAATATGCGATTATTGCCTAAATTAATCAATTCTAAAAAAAAGCCTCGTGATTACTTGATTTATTAACTAAAAATGTATTCGTTGTTGGACCGATTCACTAAAAATTTTGACATCAGAAAAATATATTTTTTAACGCAAGACTGTAAAAAGCAATTATATTTCTATGTATTGAACTCGGTTCTTCAACTACATTTCGCATTTTACGAATACTAGTCTGAATATCCCCCTCGAAAACCCGCCAAAACGAAATAAACCACAATCTTACGCCGAAAATTCTTGGTTTACTTGGAAATATCAAAACAAACTATAACACTTGGCCGAAGATGGCTCCGGCCAGTAGTCAAGCACTCATCACACGGCAACATAACCACCGCAGTCGGCTATTGGACCTCACTTCATTTCCGGACAGGCCATTTGGTAGACGAACTGAACGAGTGTGCGAGTGGGTCGTCCCGTCATGCGCTTCTTGGTCAGGTAGGGCACCAGTCCGTACTTGGTCAGGAGTCCCGTTCCGCGGGTGTCCAAATGCGCCCAGTCCACGCAGGGCACCAGTTCGTGGAGGATGGCTGCCGCCAAGCAGGAGGTGGCCAGTCCTCGGCCATCGTTGCTCAGGTCGTAGGACCTCTCGTCGGTGACCTGGCGCCGGTAGTACTGCCACAGGGGAAGGCGCCACACGCGGTCGCCGGAAATGGAGCCGGCCCGCTGGAACTGCTTCCAGATGTAGTGAGAGTTGGACCAGATTCCGGTGGCGCCGCCACCGAAGGCCTTCTTCACACCAGTGTTCAGGGTCGCTATATCCACCACCAGCCTGGGCAGGTACGTCTTCTGTCCGTAGAGCAGCGGGTCCGACAGCACCACCACGCCGGCCTTGTCCAGATCCCGCACGGCCATCGACTTGCCGTTGAGCAGGGTGACCACGTCGCCGGGCTTCGCGGACATCCCGGAGGGCATGTTCTCGCACAGCGGGATGATGCAGGTCACGTTGATGGGCAGCGACAGGGCGGCGATGCAGCGCATCATGGCCACGCAGCAGGCGGCGGCGGACATGCTGCCCCGGTACTCGTCCATGCCCTCGCAGGGCCGCAGATTGAGGGCGCCCGAGTTGAAGGTGATGCCCTTGCCCACGAACAGGATGGGCTTGTCGTCGGGCGCCGTGCCACAGTAGCTCAGCTCCAGGAGCACGGGCGGCTCGCAGCTGCCCTTGGCGATCATCAGGAAGGCGTTCAGCCGCTGGGCTTCGATCCAGTCCATGGTCCGCACCTCCACGGTAATGCCACACGGACACAGTGCGTCCACGGTGGCCTGGGCGAACATGGTGGGAGTCATGCAATTGGCGGGGGCGTCGCTTAAGCGCCTCGCCAGGTTCTGGGCCTCCGCCTTGAAGATGCCCCTCGTCCAGCCCTCGTGATCCGGCGACTCGAAGAGCTCCAGAGTCGGGACCAGCGGCATGTTCTTCTTGGACAGATTGTCCGGGAAACGCCAGACGGCCAGCTGCGAGCCCTCGGCCGCCTGCTCCGCGTAGTCCATGCCGTCCACCAGAACATTGGTGATTCCCTGCTGCTGCAGGGACCTGGCTCCCACGCCGGCGGCCACGCGCACAAACTCCATGCCCTCGTCCAGCATCTCCAGCTCGTTGAACCCGATCCCCTCCAGGCCGACGCCCACGACGGCCACGGCCGCGAATTCGGTGTCTATGTTGTGGAACACCTTGCCGCGCCCCAGCCGCCCGTCCAGCTTCGTCTCGCAGATGACCTTCATCAGCTTGCCCTGGACCCGCTGGTCGATCTTCTGGCCCGCCGGCGTCAGCTTGGGGTCCTTGTCGCCCTCCTTCTGGTACAGGCCAACAACCACGCCCTTCATTATCGCCTTGCCCTCGCCGCAGGAAAATCGCACTCCTGCACTCGACAGGACCTGCGGCTTGCACAGGGCACTCACGCTTTTCAACGAGCAGTGGAACTGACGTAGCTTGTTCATTCTGACGGCGGTTGGCTGGCTTGATTATATTATGATACTTCGGAATCGGTTTAGGGTCTCCAAAAATCCCCTCAACGTTACTAAATACAAAAGATTTTGGGCGTTTAAAACAAGTCCGTCTGGTTCCACACTCGAAATTTTCACGAAAACCGAAACAAAGGCTAAGAAAAAATAACCAACTAATTCGAAAAAAGAAGACGGAGAATTTTTTCTGGGGACTTTTTAAAACAAACGATCTGTTCTCTACCGGCGTACGAATAAAATGATACTGAACATATTAGGGCCAAACATTTGGTAGTCCAACTGTCATTAGCACTTCAAGGAAAACGTGATTGGAAATTTGTATCAACTCGGTTTGGCCACTAATGGGCCTAAAAAGTCCGTAACATCTTAAGTCCCTTTAGGAACTCTTCTAAATTTAAAACTGAAGAAATTGATTATATTATTGTTTTTTGATATTCAAGCTTTCGAGTAGTTAGTAGTTTAGTGGTTTAGTCACAAAAATAAACTATTTTCCTCATGCTTACAGAGGCCAAAAAACATTTAATTTCGAACCTAGTAACCATCTATAATAACACATAACACATTGCACTTACCAGAAATATAAATAGCTTACGGTTTGAGTGTAAATCTAATTTGCAAGGCAATTGCAAACTATTTCCGAGTGATGCAAAAACCCAGAGAATTATATTATAGTGCCATTGAAAAGCTTTTCGTCTGAGTAGAGTGTTAACGTGCAGTATCCAAAATGCAATTGCCACAAAGAGGCCAAGAGGACCGCTTTCCAGTCAAGATGGCAACAACTTGCTTTCCCACTCCTCAACTCTCCTCCGCCAGTGCCAATCCACTTAAAATTGTTTTCGAGCTCAATTTTGTTTTGCACCGAGCAGCACTTTTATTCGGCTCTCAATCGTCGAGTCGGGGGTGAAAAGCTGATTACATTTTATTTATTGGCGTCACCGAATTGCAATGGGGATATCAGCTTCACTCGGAACCCGACTTTGGCGTTAATGCGCATTAAGCCGCCTGACCAAGGGTGCAGCAGCTCCAGTAAACAAGGATGGAGTCGCAACCGGCTGGCGAAAGTGGGATCTGGGAGCTGGTGCCGAAGCACACATTGTTTTACTGCCGTTTAGCATGATTTTTAATAGGCTTTTGCCTTGTCCTGTCCGAGTTGTTGGACTTGTCGTCATCGGACTAAGCCCGGTGGGTCGGTTGGCCGGTTGGCCGGTCGGTCGGTTGGTCCGGCCGTTAAACCCCAAAAACGCCGCCTGATGGCCATGATGGCCCAGCAAAGGGAAGCCCAGACATTGTCCTGCTCCTGCTTCTGGTCCGTCCGGTCGGTCCGTCCCTGACAGGCAAACGACACTTGTTAGGCTCAAGTTTGGGTGGAGGTTAGGCCGCTTTGGGCGGATTGGCCAGCAGGAGGAGGGAGGAGGGGCGGTGGCTGGCCAACATGCCGTTGCAGTGCTCGTCATGGGACTTGTTTGACGGCATCTGCCGCTCCTTCTAACGTGTGCGAACATGGTCAGATTTTTCGGGCATTTGTCATTTTATTGTGGTCGAAATGGTTGGTAATGGTCGTCACTCAGTCTCTCAAGCGGCGTACAGGGAAAATTGCCTTCAACGAACTCTCTTAAAACGAATAATAGGGAGTGTTTGGTAAGCCTCAGAAAACTTATCGTTTCATAGTGTGCTCTTTCATACGAGACCTTAAATGGTTGTGTTATCGGATTCTAAGATCAAACATTAATGAAATTTTTTTAAGTATGTCTGAAATTTAGACTCTGAATACCTTGCATAATTTACTGATCTGAAAATAGAGAAAAACTGTCTTTAAGTCTTAGGAAAAGTAATGATTTAGATTCAAGTTACCTCAGCTCTACTGTGTTATGTTTGCGTTTGTTTGTATATTCGCTTGCCATCTGCAGGTGCAATATTTTCTGGCTCCCACTCACATATTTTAATTTCATTTTTATTTCAACCCTTTGCCGTTGCTTGTTTTCTTTGCCTTATACTTTTTGTTGGGCAGTGTGGGGCACAACATATTTTTACAAGTGTTGAAAAGAGGTTGCCAGGGATTTAAGTTTTATTTAATGGAGCCCTCCAACATATGTTTCGGGATTAAAAGTTCTGCTCGGGGATTGCGAATCACTCGACAAAAGGGTTTTCGTATTCCCAGCAGAGGGTTCCACTGAAAGGCTGAAAGGCTCCCCGAATTCCTCTCGGCATGTGTTGCTAATGTGCTCCGAGTGCCTTTGTCCTGCAATTGATGGGTGTTCAGTGTGTCTCCTTTTAAAGAAATTTGCAAGTGAAAGCCTCAAACAAGGCATACGAAATTGGTGTCGATTTACCCAGCCTGCCCCAGCACATCCGACCCGATGGTTGACTTTAAATTAGCTTCACTTCATTCGCTAACCATAATAAACCACAGCCACCCATCTTCAACTACAAGGACAGCTAATATTCTGCCCTCCGAGAGGGGAAGAACTACATGTAGCCGGGTCCCTGCCATTGCCTTTGCTATTCCTATTCCTATTCCTATTCCTATTCCAATGATGTTTGCAACGTATTGACAGTCACATTCGCATAAAAATCACGTAGTTTGACATTTTTCTTGCTGCTCTGCCATTTCGTTAGATGGTTTTTTTCAGCTGCCGCTCCGGCAGGTCTGCAGGTCCGACTCCCCGGGATAACAAGGATGTGGAGCAGGAGGACTTCCAGGAGCAGCAGCTGTCACGCAATCAGCCCGAGAACAGAGCCAACAAACTGATAACTCAATTTTGGTCGGAGACGCCACAGCTCGAAAAATGAAAATTGCTAACAAGCGAGCCATAAAAACTGTGGGTGGTTGCATTTAAAATGTTCCCCCACTTCTCGGCACTCTCCCGAAAATTATACAACAATTTTCGTAGGAGGTCCGCCGGTCTAATCATCGTCCTGTTCGGATGCTCTTTTCGGGTCTCGAGCTGCAGCGGTCATAATTGCGTGGCCAAAAAGTTTCGGCGCAAGGCAGCGGCAATTGTGTCAATGGCTGCCGTGTGGCACCATCGAGCCAGGACATCCATTTGCCTGACGAACGCTGTTGAACACGTTCCACTTGAGGGGGATTTTCGCACTCCCACTCCACGAAGGAGCCCTTCCGAGGCCCCGTCCTCAGGCCAGGCTTCACCCACAAGCACATGGCATTGAAGCAGCTCCGAACGCATTACATTGTAAAATTGGTTTTTGTAAATTGTTTGGACACAACATTTATTTCCATTTAAATGCGATTTGGCCCGACCCGGTTGCCGGCCATCCTCGGTCCCAGCTCCTGTTCAATTTTAAATGAGCATGCAGCTGCAGCTGCCACGTCCCCTGATCCTGCCCAATCCGGACAGGATGCCCACGCCCCTCCTCTCCAGTCTCCCAATCTCTGCCTGTGTCCCTTGAGGTTTTCGGGCTTCGGATCGAGGTGTTTGCAGCGCTTAAACGAATTGTGTGAATAATAAACGCAACACATTGGGCCACTGGCGTGGGCAGGGGCTTGGCAGGAGTCCTGGGCGGCGGCTTTAGTTACCCAACAGGGATTAGTGCTATGGCACTGGGCGAGGGGAGTACGGAATCCTTTCCGGCTGAGTGCAAATCATGGGCTAATTGAAGAGGGTAGCTAACGCAACGATTTGAATGGCTAAGAACGAGATTAAGTGGGGTCTCACCAGGCTGGAGTCATGTGGAAATTTAATACCATAAAATCTAATGCTGTCCGCTATCCCATTTGATTTCATGTAATTTATCTCAACCACTTTGGTAGCCTTGTCTAGAAAAAGTGTGGCTAAAAACTAATGGGGGTTGTCTCAAAGTGGGATCCTCTACATACATGTTATAAAAGGAAGTTAAAGGGATATTTTGCACTAATTATTCAATAATTTAATCAGGTTCAATAAGTTATATTTTGAGGAATAGGAATACTGTTACTTTTTATCTTTTTTAAAAACACATTAAGTTTACGTTGTTTCAATTTACTAGGTACTTTACTCGCCCTTTTCATATACTTATGGACTGGGCTAGTGTTATTTTTCACTGACATCCCGGGGGCATAATAATGTCGGTGGTTGGCCAACTTTTCTTGATGTTTCGACCGCAAAAACCTGACAGGCAAACAACAAATCGAATTAAGTGGAAAATCACAATGAAATCCAGTCGCACGGTGATTTGAGCCACGCCCACGGATAATGAACATCCTGACCCCCCAGGGCCGCAAGGGTTAACCACAAGGGCAGTGGCCAGGGGAAGGTTAAGGCCAGGCCAATGCCGCAGGGCAAACAAAAGGCAAAAACATTTTAATGAGCGCAGATGAGATGACAAAGCCACGGAACACGAGGGAAGGGGGAAGGGCCGGGAATAACAATGCTGATTACATGCAAATTAAAAGAAATAAAAGTCAGCCAACGCCTTGGATGTCCGATGTCAAAGCATTTTCCTCTGGGCCAAAGGAAGTGGAAGTGGTTGGGGCTCGGAAGTGCGCATTAAGTTACCAGAGGAGCCGGGCGATGGCTTATTGCTTTTCGCCATGAAAGAAGTCGGAGCTGGTCGGCATGTCAATTTGGACATACTTCGGCCATCTGATCGCTCACTCGCAACTAAACGAACTCACGTAGTTTGGCCTGCAATTGCATTTTGCACTCGACTTCGCTGCACAATTCGCTAAGAGCCAGCGCCAATGGAAACGTGTTAAATGCAAAAAAGTGCCCATCGAATCCAGCAGTAAACTTGGCTCGCAGGGGCACTTTTGTCATATTTGGCCAGCCATCTATCTGTTTATCCATCCATCGCAATCTGATGGAGACGGGGCGCAAAAAACGGCCACGTCATCCGAAAAAGGGTCCAGTTCAATATGGCACGTGATCTGATTCGGATTCCACTTCGCTGGGCTCTGTACTTTTTGCAGCAAACATTTGGTCTCGCCCCGACATTTTTTATCTGCATTGTAATTATGTTCACTTTAATCAGACCCACTGGTAATGAAATTCCAAATCGCAGAGTCTTGCTGCACAATGTTATATCTCGTCTGGACTCTACCCACAAATTTGCATACTCGTCCGCTGTTGCGGTC